AATACATGTCCGGGAGGCGAAGAGATTTTGGGTGGTCACCAGGGCTGGTCCGCCACCACCACCAAAACCCGCTCACCCCAGCGACGAGCAGGAGGCGACACTAGAGCGCTTTCCAGGTGCCAAGGTGATCGGCGGCGATCCATCATGGAAGTTACCACAGGACCGGTCGCACAGAACGCACGAGAAGAAGCGGAGTCTAGCAAAGCCACATGCGGAAGTATGCTGCGAAGTGGCAGTCGCCACCCATTTGGCAAAACCCGGGTGATGTACGAAGCGGAGTCCCATACTAAAAGGGTACCCACAACATCGGGCCCATGCTCAAAGGGGGGGGGTGATCAGCACGAACAAGGTGGGTACAAATACAAATATGCATGCTGGCAGACCCAACCTCGTCATGACCCGGTGGCGGCCTCCTAGCTGCTGGAACGAGATGTTCTGTCATGTCGGTGTCCTGGGAACAATCTGGCGTACCCGCCCAGTAAGCTCACAATCTCTTCTCGACGACGCTACTATCCAGCATTGGTCGAACGGGCGCACTTCACGACCAAGAAAAAGTTGTGTCTTGAAAGCTTCAGCACGCGACCAAACTTTTGTCACACGTTGTTGTAGCTGTGTTCTCCCCAAACAACTCTCTTACCGTCTTCAGACATCTCTACTGTATTATTGTTCGCCACAGGAGTAACGCACACCCAGGACGTGGAAATCCGAGGAGAGAGGAATCATTTTGTATTATGTCTCTATACTACCGAGGATCGTTTATTTATGTAAGTGTTGGATTAGATTAGGCCTCCTGCGCCGGACTGTGGTCCCGCCCCGTCGTTTAGCTGCACTAATTGGCTTTGACACAATTTGATCATTCGTCCGGCGCGAGATGATCTCACCCAAACTTCACTGTACACGTCATGGTACCGCCCTCAACGGGTCCACACATGAGGCGAACTCTTGTTGGAACTCTGCCATCAGGGCGCTAGGAAAGGTCGGCGTATCGCTTCCCGCAGGACCTCCCGCCACTTATAAATTTGGAATTCATCGAAATCTTTGGAAAACTTTCCGAAAAATTGGAAGTGACCAGGGACCCAAAACTTTGGCATGGTGACTTCCAAATCATTGGAAAGTTTCCAAAGTTATTGCCTTCGAACTCGCCGCGCAAAGGTTTCCAAGTTTGGAGACATTCCAAATATTTGGGGAACAAGTGCTCTGTTTTAAACGGTAATTACCCCCACCAAGGAGTGGTGGCCACAAGAGGACCGCCTGCGCGGGAAGTTCAGTATTATAAGGAAATAGAACAGGGAGGGAGTACGCAGACAGAGCCTGTTTTCCCCAACCCTCACCCCAACCCAACTTCCCCGATTGAATGCTTTATCCAACATGTTCCCAGAAAAAATAAATCCTGCGAAGGCTACTGCCACAAGAGCACGTCGCTACTGACACCGCACGCCACGCCAAACGCCTATTTTATATAAGCTGAGAACAAACCATTAGACCTAGGCTAGTCGGCGCTGACTGGTCTAGTGGTTTGATTTCAGCTTCTTCTATACCTCCGACCTCCAGGATCTGGTCGCACTGCCGGTCCCGCCATGGGTTGGCCGAGGGTACCTCCCACACGAGTATTTTACACCGAAAGGCACATACTACCTGTGGTGGTCCTTTTTATTTCAAGGGGGAGAAACAAAAAACCGGTGAAGTTTTCTCGCTACCATAGTTCTACACGGATGAACCCTCCTCCTCCTCCTCCTCCTGCTTCTGCTCCTCGTCCTCCTCCTCGTCGTCGTCGTCCTCCTCGTCCTCCTCCTCCTCCTCCCCCTCCTCCTCCTCGTCCTCCTCCTCCTCCTCCTCGTCCCCCTCCTCGTCCTCCTC